GAGGGAAGGAGACCCACTACTCTGTTCAGTTCAGTTCTAGGTAGTGCTTTGCCTAAGTACATATCATCGTGAACTCACACTGACCTCCTTAGATGATTAAAGCCAGCGATAGCCCAAAAGTCTCCTTCATGGGGTTCTTTGGAAATAATTCTTTACATGCTAAGTACTGTATCCTCAGCCAGCCAGCAATAAAACTCTGCTGGGCACATTTAAATATTAAGAAAGGTTATTTTCTTACTGCTCCCAAAGAGAGAAACAAATTCTCCTGGGCCTGACGTAGTATAAATATCATGGTCAAAGGCATCATCACCCAGGAATGAAAGACAGCCAGTCATTCTTCATGACCCCGTCAGCCAGTTCTGAGTCTGCCCTACACCACCCCTCAGGTCTTCTCCCTTCCATGGTGCCCTGATTCTCTTCAGATCCTCACCAAGGTCTTACTGAGGCTCCTGTCATAATGTCTTAGGGACCTTCAAACCCCACCACTCCTCCCCTCTCACATTTACTCAACAAACATTTAAGGAGGCCTAATATATGCCAGCCATTTTGCTGAGCTTTGGGAATACAGTGATGGATTTCATATATTCCCATGACCCCAGATGTCATCACTGCCCTTAGAAACCCAAAGCTTTAGGGGGGACCCTGACCAGAAGACAATTACAACACACTTCAGTAGGCCCTGATTTCAAGGACACAGCACATCATTATTAACTGTTATCACCATGCTGTATATTAGCTCCCCAGAGCTTACTTATCTTATGAAGTTACATTTTTAGTAATCAAGTTAGTCATTTTCTCTTTTAGGACCTTGGTTTAAAGTGTCATAGCCTGAGTATCACCGCATTTTCTCTTCTTTGCAATGGCAGCCTTACTGATAGACTGGGCCAAGCTTGTTTGTATCGCTGCCTCACAGCCACCTAAGGGCATCTCATCTTTGGATATAATTAAAGGACATGATAAGGAATGGGACTCAGCCAGGCCAAAATCTCAGTTTAGTTCTGATCAACTGCAAGAGGTGAACTTAGCATAAGTTATTTAGGGAGAAAAGTGAGAAAAGATGAATACCATTTGAATAGGCCAACGTCAAACAAATAATCTAACGTAAGAGCTAGTATTTCTGAATATGCACACTCCCTTTTCTCTTAGCACATCAGCTTTCTTCTGAGGTGAGCATAAAGTAACCAGTGCACCAGTTGGGGTATTTTTTAATGAGTGTTTCCACATCAGGAGTACATGTACATACTGTACCTATATGTTGACAGCTGTGGGCTCTGCTCTCTAAATGGACAAGTTGAAAGAGTTCACTTCCTTATATTTAGTGTATTATTAAAGTATGTGTTGTTTTATCAGGAATGACTCAATCCTTTCTGAATAATTTTTCACTTTGGATCTAGGAATTATGCCTTATTTCATAACAAGTGACCAGGGTGAATGATTGTTGCAATGAACTTCATTTCCCCATCTCAGCCAGCAGACATTCATTTTTCAAAACAGTGGACACTCACTTCTTCTTTTGAATATACACTATTTATTAAATAACCACCCCATTGCTGCGCTGATAACCGTTTAGAACAGCTCATCATTTATGTTGGCAATATCGTTACTCTGGGTCAGGTTGCAAAATAGCCAAAGAAACACATTTATCACCTACCTCTCAGGTTCTAAAAGGAAGTGAACTTTAGGTTATAATGTGTCTGGCTAAGGCTTACTTTTCCTAGAAGAGACTGTAAAGGGAAAATGAATTCTTCAGTTTATTTGTCTGTTTGGTTGGGATTTTGGGCACGTGCATTTATAATGACCCAATGTGAATCCCCGTAATAGTACATAACACATGGAAAATATTTGCTTAACCTGGCAGAGGTATTTTTGTGTTTGGCAGCTACTTGAAGGCTCCAGAGGGAACATTTCTAGAACAATCAGTTTCTCTTTTATAATAGTAACATAGGAGGTTTGTTTTTTATGTTAAATTCTAGATCTGTTTTAATCTGGTCCGTCACTCAGTACAATTACAAAAGGTGGCTGCTAACCAAATTCTCCAGGTTTAGTATTATTGACTATATATTTAAGTAATTCCATACAAGCATCAAGAATGGAGGCAACCATTCCAAAACTTAGTGACATAAAACAATATTATGCTCTTGGATTCTATGGGCCAGTAACTCAAACAGGGCAACATAAGGATGGCTTGTCTCTGAGCCATTTTGTCTGGGGCATCAGTTGAGAAAAATCAATGGCTGGGGCAGCTGGAATCATCTGGAGGCATCCTCACTCACATTCTAGCTTTTGGGACTGGTTGTTGGCTGGGACCTCATCTGGCTGTTGGCCAGAACATCTGCACAGAGCCTGTGCCAGGGTGTGTCTCTGGGCCACACTGTGATTGCGCTTACAATGGGGTGTATGTACATGCACAAGACCCAGACCTGCAGCAGCCACCTTGTGAGGAAGGGGGAGCCCCCAAAACAAGATCAGAACACAAGATGGCAAAGCTGAGAGATGGAGAGGTCTGGAACCACTGAATTCATGTGGAGTACTCTACCTCCAGCTTCCTGTTCAGTGAAATAAAATAAATTTTCTATATGGTTTTAAAAACTGGATGCAGTATTATACATTGCTGAGAGGATGTTTGGAATGTGAAGAATGTTTTTACCTTCTGAGGAAGTGGACGTGGACGTGCATGGATCTGATGTGCAAATAGTATCTTATTTTTTACCAGCATTTCCCTAATTACTAGTGGAACTGAACATCTTTTCATATAAGTGGTGGCATATAAATTTATTTTCCCAAGAATTTATGTATCTATTTTCCTGTGATTACCACTTTACAGCCTTTCCCCATTTTATTTGAATTGGTTGCATTATTTTTTATTCATTTTTAAGTCTGCTTTTCATATTATAGATGTGAACCCTTTTTGTTATGTTGGGTAGTGTTGCAAATATGTTCCTTGCTCAGTCACTATTTTTCTTAACTTTGTTTACAGTGTCTTTTGTTGAATGAAAGTTTTAAATTTTTATGTAATTCTACTTGTCAAACATTTCTTTAATGGCGTTTAGATTCAACACCATGCTTCTAAAATCTTTTGCCACCATTTTCCTTTGCATTTCATTAGGTCTTTTTTATGTGGACTTTTTCATGTGGACTTTTTTCATAAAATTCTAGTCTTTAATTTTTAGGTATACAAATTAAGATTATAAAATATATTTGTCTGTATCATAGTGGACATCTTTACATTTGTAAATATTATTTTTAATCTTTATTTTTAGGTATACAAATTAAGATTATAAAATATATTTGTTTGTATCATAGTGGACATCTTTACATTTGTAAATATTATTTTTAATCTATGTGAAAAATAGGAATCTATTTTCCCCCAAATGGGTGCACCTCATCTAACATCATTATTAAATAATTGATCACTTCCTCACTTATTTGAACTGTCATATTTGCAATATATTAAATTCAAACACATATCCAGTTCTATTTCTGGAGTCTTTATTTTACTCCATTGATTTGTTTGTTTGCTCACTGACATCACACTACTTTCATCATTGTAGCTATAAAGTATATTTGAGATCTGCATTTCTCTCCTTTTTTATTCATTATTATTTTCTGGCTGTTCTTAGAGTCCTTCTCTTACTCATCTTTTATATTTAATTTTCATGTGGAATCTCAAATATATCTATTCAAGTTCCAATGATATTTAACTCAGTCCTATTATTTGCTGAAATTACTGCAATACTGCGTCCACCCTGAATGCTTTTCCTTCTCTCATTTGCCCACTAAAGTCTACTCTCTAAATCTTTATAAAGAAATATGATTATTTTGAGGCCTCGTATAATTTTTATAACAGCATTATTGAGATATAAGGAACATACCATACAATTAATTCATTTTAAATGTTCAGTTCAATGGCTCTTAGCCTATTCACAAAGTTGTACAGTCATCACTAATTAATATTAGAGCCTTTTTATCACCCCAAAGAAAAGCGACATACCTTTCAGATATCACCCCTCAATCCTGCCATCTTCTTTCCCCTTTACTGCCTGCCCCAGCTCTATCTAGGCAACCACTAATCTCTTACCTGTCTTTATAGATTTTCCTGTTCTGGACATTTGACATAAGTGGAATCATAACCTACGGTCTTTTATGACTGGCTTCTTTCACTTAGCATGATGTTTTCAAAGATCATCCATGCTGTAACATGTATCAGTACTTCATTCCTTTTTATGGCCAGATAATATTCCACTGCATGGATATACCACATTTCACTTACCTATGCATCGGGTGATAGACATTTGGGCTGTTTCCACATGTTAGCTTTTATGAATAATGCTGCTACAAACCTCATATAGACTTTTGGAGTTTGTTACATTCCAATATAAAATTCTGTGGGAATTTTTACTGCAGTTGCATTAAATTTATAGATTAACTTAAGGAAATTTTAATTTTATTACAATGTTTAGTATTTCCATCCAGGAAACTTGTTTTCCTTTATAGTTATTTAGGCCTTGTGTATTGCCTGCCATGAAGTTGTATAGTTTTCTTCATAAAATTCTGGTGCATTTCTCTTTTGTAATGCCTAGTTATTTCATAATGTTTTGCCATTTTGCATGGAACTTTTAAATTAAAATTTCTATTTTGTGAAAGCACTGAAAAGAAAGGGGCACAATGGAAAAGCTTACAAAGTCCACAGGACAGAATTCTGGGGCAGGGTGGTCACAGCTACCGTTTGCCTCCCTGGGATGCCTGGGCAGAGGTGAATGGCAAAATCGTTTCATGGTTTGAGAGAATTTAATTGCTCTCTAATGTCACCAGCCTGTGATGATTTCCTATAAGAAGTTTTCTTTCTGAGACACCATGCAGGAGTTAGCAATCGTAGGAGGGTGTTTATATTATTTGCCCCAGCATTTAAGGTGCCACATTAATGATAGTGCTGCCGCATCTTATTACTGCCTACATTTTAGAATGTGACTAAATGCACCCCTTTTATTGTTCTCTTCCAGGATTTCCAATGAACACTCCCCCAAACTCCAGATCCGGAGTCACAGTTACCTGAGGGCAGTCAGTGAAGTCTCCATCAACCGAAGCCTAGACAGCCTTGACCCTGCAGGCCTGCTCACGTCACCAAAGTTCCGCTCCAGGAATGAGAGCTACATGCGAGCCATGAGCACCATCAGCCAGGTAAGCACCTTGGTCACAAGCCGTGAACTGCACAAGGGTTGGCAGACACTGAGGGTGCATAACGCGGGGAGGCAGGGACTCCCCCAGGAGACCGCTGGATCAGGCAGGTCTGGTCTAAATGCTCCTTGCCTTTGGCACCCACAAGCATCTGGTATCACCAGTCTACCAGCAGGCAAGGGATCCTCTGCAGATAAATAAAGCACATCAGGGGAGTCCTGGAAATTCATGAGCAGACACTCAGCACCAGCAGATTTGCCAGCAAGAAGCTAATGGATGAGCCTTCGGTTGTAAGATGCTTGAAGGATAGGACAGTGAAGACATCACTGGCAAAACCAAGGCAGTGTCTAATCGTGAAAGTACAAGTTTTAAGCAGGTCATCAAAACAGGGACCTAGGCACAAGAAATGTGCCTAGTCTCTCCCATCCAGGGTCCCAGAGGGTGTGGGAGATGGGTGTACTGCCTAAGCTTAAGGGTGGAAAGAACCTGGGACTCTTGGAAGACCTGACCTTGCAGCTTTCAGGGGCCACCAGAAAAGCAGAAGGTGCCTCAGAAGCTTCTTCCGGAAGAACAAAAAGAAGGGTATTTTTTTAATGATGTTTAAGAATACTTCATTTAAGTTTCTATCACAAGTTTCAAAATAAGTACCATAGTATTATTTCAGCTAATATTTATTGAGCAGGAGAACACATGGCTGGTTATACAAGTCATTCAGTGTTGAGTAAGACATAATCCCTGTCCCCCAAAAGCTTACAGTCTAATGGAAAACATACAAAAAACTTAGAAGTGCTGTCACAAAGATTATTTACTTGAACACCATAAAACACTCTGAGGCAGGTAGGGCAAGAATGAACAATAAAGCCACCTTTACTGGTTCAGGCACTGTGCCAACTGCTTTATATTTTTAAAATATTAATCCTTATAAACGCCCTGTAAGATATGTAAGTAACCAGATGTTAAATGAGACTTTGTGGTCATGAAATTGTCAACAAGATCCTGAAGCTAAGGAGAAAGATATTAAGTACCCAGATTCGAGAGAGAGAGCGTCTAGGCATGGGGTTAGGAGTGTGCATTTTAACAAATAAAGTAGTATTTGATTCTTAACTTTGAAAAATGCTAGCCTAAAGCATGTACAAGGAATAGAAAATGCTCTGGTTTGGTTGGAACTTAGAATACTTGTAGAGGCAGTAATGAGAAATCTACAGTATTCTGAATTGTATTCTAGAGACATTTTTATACAAATTATCTTGCATTCCAGGCCCAGTGGACTGGACTTTATTCATTAGTAATGGGATTGCTTAAAGATTAATTAAGACTTCAGCTATTAAGCTGTCAGGAGATGTAACCAGAGTTTTGATGTAGGATAATTAATCTGGCAAAAAATGTAGGAAATATTGGAGATGATGAGAGGCTAGAGGCAGAGAAGATAGTTTGGAAGACAGACACTGCTTCATCATCAACGCTACTGGTGATTCTGTAGCTGATGATGGTGGTGAAGATGGCGGTAGTGATGGTGGTGGTGGTAATAGTGATGATGGTGGTAGAGATGGTGGTATGGTAGTGATGTGGAGATGATGGTGGTAATGGTGGTGGTGGTGGTGGAGATGGTGGTTATGGTGGTGATAACAGTGATGCTGGTATAGTGAGGTGATAGTGTAGTGTGCTGGTGGTACAGATGAAACAAATAGTGCATTTGGGGGGAAAAAAGATGAAATAGGCTCATCACTGAAGCATTTCTGATCTGTAAAAGTAAGACCCTAAAATAGAACCACAGCTCTCACTTTGCCCCTACTCCCTGGTCTACATCGATTCTTGAAGAACAAAGAAAGGTGGGGACCTCAGTGAGGTTCCAAAAGCAGGGCAGGGTGGGAGTGAGGAAAAGCTGGCATACATTTGCCCACTGTACATTTCCTTACTTTAAGGAAATCTCCAAGAGCTTGCATATCTGTTTTTACTAGCTAAAGCTGTCCAGTGATGCTCACAAATCCAACTCTCAAAGAAATAGTTGGTGCCTCATTTTGTGAAATTTGGACTTGCCTTGTCTTTACTTTTTCACAGTAAACAATATAACATTTAAAACTTCTTTAGGCTTATCTTTTTTCTGGACAGCCTCATGATCACATAGTCTTCTAGAATTGCAAAATCATCTATAAATCCAGTAGTCATGTAAGCAGAATACATCAGTGGGTTTAAAGTTTTTTGACTGGAAAAAAATGTTTATACACATTCACTGCTTTTATAATTTTACACATTTAAAGCAGGAGCACATGTCACTTCCCCCATCAGGACATTGTGCCCATGCAGCTGCCTGCTTGCAGTCAGATATGACCTTCTTTGAGACAATATTACTTCCTAGTGACAGCTTAATAAGGTATCAACAAATTACTGAAGAAGCACATTGGACCTTGAGCTACAGCAGGCCAAGCTCTGCGATTCAGGGGCATAAGCACTTCGCCTGAAGTAGAGCACAGAAAGATCAGCCATCCTAAATGGATTCCTCATGATACCTCATTCTCTAGTTCCATATTCAATTTTCAGGTAACACAGTATCTTTAAGGATAATTTCAACTTTCAATTGCAGCACCAATATTGCCATTATTCAAAGGAGAACAATTTCTTCTTCAAAGCAATACTACCATAAATATACTCTAGCTTTTCAAAAAGTGGTTGGCTTTTATGGTGTTGGAGATATTCTGTCTTATAAATCATTAGTAGCAACTCTAACAGTATAGAATTTAAGTGCATTATATCCTATACCCTTTTAAGCCCTGATACATGTATTATTTATCAAAGTCTCCTAGAAAGATCAAAGTAAAATGTTGTAAGCTAAGAAATTAGTCTAGAATAACTAAATTGTATGTGTCTGACATTCATACCTCACAGAAATAAAATACCCATAAAAATAAATTATACTTGGATGTTAAAGAATAATTGAACATCTTTTTATATGGTTACTCCCTTTCTATATTTTTTCTACATAGACATCTAGTAAAAATGAGGGCTTTTAAAAGTAAGGCTTGAGAAGAAAGAATGTTATAAAGTCACATTTTTAAAATATATTTGGCATAGTAACTGTTATTTCCAAATTAGCTTAATTTATGTCTGAATTTATTTTAAGTCTAAATCTTAAACATCTTCATCTGGAGTGGTAAACTAGAAACCCACAGACACATTTTGTCTGTCAACATTCTCAGTGTCTACATCACTTAAAAATTAAACATTATTGTGCTCAGTGGTGATGCCAGCTGTGAGTGTTCAGCTGTGACTTTTGATCTAGATCATCCCCTCATAGTATGTCTACAAAGAAATGGAAACCCAGGTGAACTGGCTACGGTAAACAGCTAGTCAGTGACAGAGCCTAGAAACCCAAGTACTGTGACTCCCAGTTGCTAAGCTTCTTTAATGCCTGCTAGTATTGGGTATTGGTGGCAATAATATTGTTAATAACAGTAGTAACGATGATGGAAATGAAAACAGTGTTTAGACACATGTAGTTGCAATGTTGCAATGTATTGTTTACCAGATACAGGCTAGAAGCTTTGCATAGTATCTCATTAATTTCATATCAACTATAAGAAAGATCATTTTTTAATTTACGAAACTCAGTCTCAGAGACTTGGAATCATTTGTCTCATTCTTTCCACTATACCATCTCAAAAAATAATATCCACTATTTATGCAGTGCTTACCATGTACCTAGAAATATAGTATGAATTACAGTTTTAAAAATGGGTGAAGGAAGACCTGTATGTTAAAAGTGAATTAAAAGATATATTAAAATTTTTTAAATGTGTTTGACTAAACTCTAGAGTCCAGGGATGCACAGTTGGGTGAAAACCATAGATGAATACAAAGAAGCGATTGCAATAAAACTTCATATGGTTTACTTTTGGGGGGAGGGTGTGGATTGGGGTTGGGTGGGACATGTGGAGGAGCTGCTGAGTGCCTTGAAGAATGCTCCCACATCTCCACAAAGTGAGAAGTTGGAGCACTTGGTCTGGCTTATTTAGTATTTATTTTTTTAGGTGGTGCTCAAACCCAATTTAAGTTAGATACAGAGGCATATAAATAAATAAAAACAGATTCCTCGAAAAAAAAAAAAAAAAAAGCCTCATTTGGAAGATCTTTTAAGTGCATTTGTGAATAATCTGTGGACCATATCAGCTTTTTTAAAAGAAGAGTGAGACCTTTAGATAGCACGTAGATAGTTTGAAAATCTTGATAGAGCTCTTCCAGATTTTGACAGATCAGGTTCGGTCTGTTTGGGGGCAGAATATGAGGAAATTGCTAGAAAATATAGGGCCTGTTTTTATACTTCACACTAAATTAAACTTCAGTCAACACGCAAATTATTTGACGAACTCATCACTTCCAAAGGCACAATAACTACTATAGTTTCTAAAATATTTGTGCTAAACAACGGTTCCACTGAAATGCACGAACCCTGTCCGTGGACTGATCCAGCTGCCCCCTAGGTTCGCGCCCGCCCCGCAAACTCTAACGCCCGAGAAACCCCCGCGTGGGCGTCCGCGTCCGGCGCTCCTTGGGGCTGCGGGGTGGCGGCTCGGGGCGGGGGGGCCGCGCGTGACCGCCCCGTGC